GCCTCCGAAAACACACCAACCAACGCCAACTGGGAGGCGTACGTTTCTTGTGCGCTGCGCTGAGGCGCATAACACCGTTCCCCATAACAAGACGGCGGGGCGCTAATCTCTTTGTTGCTTCGCCCAAAAAAAAATTAAAACCGGAAATGACGCCGATCACTCTAGACCTAGTAAACACAGAGCACGCTGTCGTCAGATTGTTTTCATCAGAGAGGTGTTTTGATTAGTAGTCAACAAGGGCATCGTTACTGCTCATTACTCGCTGAACGGAAAATTACGGGAATGGGCTACATAAACAACAAGATACTGCGTTGGCTGGTAGTATGTACCATTGTCACTTCCGGTTTTCTCGTGCCACTCACTGATTCGCTAGTCAAGGGCTAGCACTCCACCAATCAGATTGGTTCATTGAGGGCCGGAACGGCCACTGGCCGATCTACATGGTCGGGCCAAAATGAACGCCGACGCCGACTGACGACGGCACGGGACACACCGAACCGACTCGAGTCACCGACCTCGCCCGACTGTCCGACGGCCGATAATCGGGTTGGTGTGCGTAGGCCTTAAAAGTTTTGCATTCTAAACTGTAGTAAGGTAAAAGTATGTAAGTATTGGGAAAAAAAACTCAATGTGCAGTAAAATGGTTCCTGTCAGTGTTTTACTATTATATATGATGTGTTCAGATTAATATTGCTGCTGCATTAATGTGTGATGACTTTTACTGCTGTAGCTGTTTATGGTTGTGCTTATCTTTTACCTTGTTGGGTAGTTTTGGCCTCGGTGCCCTACATTTTCTATGTCATGACCCAATAAATGTTTATGTATCGAGTGGCCTTGCACTAAAAATGACCAGGCCTGCCTTAGTAAACAATCTCATTTGTGCACCCCGCTTCATGTTTTGTGAACATGGGCTTCAAAGCAATGAAACCTCACTGTCCAGATGAGAATGGTTTAGGAAGGCCCTGGGGTCAGTTACACAGCAACAGCCAGGAGTGTGGGAATGTGAAACTTTTTGCAAACAGAGTCTAAGATACCGCTCATCTCTCTCTCTCCAAGGCCTTGCAGCAATAGTCACAGCCAGAAAGTGGTATTTCATCACACTGATCCATGAGAACTGAAAATATGCCATTGGAGCACATGTCACATCAAAAATTGAACTGAAGGGTTCAATAATTGCTCATGTTGTAAGCACTTTCATGGGGATACAAAAAGGGCATTTTTACTCTAAATAACAGCTGTGGGTAACAAAAAAACCTGCAATCGATTGGCTTGTAGACAGTAAACTGCCTCTTCCAACAGTATTTCAGGGAGAGCTGCCAAACAGCAACCTGTTAAAAGGCAAGAAATTACCAAATCAAAATTTTTCAAAATGTCCATATATGCCTATTATTTGTCGAGCTCGTCTGTTGTGAGGCCTGGCTTTTTAATGACGGTGGCATTGTGCACCACAACAGAAGCCATACAATCTGTAATCAGTCCTCAATCTTGGAAAATCTTAGCTGTAAAACATTCATCACACTAGGATGAAAAATGATCAATTACTGGACCATGACCAGACCAGGAGTGTTGAGTAATCAGAGGGTACATGCCATGAGGGCACAATTGAAGAAACTATTCATATTTGACATCAATTAAACAGCAAATAGTCCCCACGCTTACCACAGACTCACATGTTTACCTTCAAATTATCATCATCAGCAGCAGTCACTTGACAACCCTGCTGATGCGTAGTCTTATTAGGTATGTTTTGTTTCCAAATGAGCTTTCAATTCATTTCTGCTTCATCCGGGCAAAAGTGAACAAGCTGAACTGAAGAACACAAAGAGCTTCTTTTCTGTTGGCCTTCAAGTCAAATAAACACTTTTTTCCCCCCTTTTGATGAATACTCAATATGGTTGTGTTTGTAACAGAAGTATGGTAGGTTGTCAGGGCTGATAAATACCACAATACCAAACTTCAACAAACTAAGCCAGATTTCCAATAGTAAGTGGAAACCTGCAAATGTTGCTGGCTGTCCACATTACTTAATCCGTTATACAAATGCCTCCCAAAGCACCTCTTGGCAGTAGGTTGCTGAAAATGTACACTGAAATAACAGAACAACTAATAACTCCCATACAACCTAATGTGAATCAATACAACAACGCCGGAATAAATCTTACCTTTAAGCTTTGTGTGTTCAGCTTTTGTTGGGACTGTGTAAGAGAGATGTTATTACACATTACACAACAGTTTCGTATTCAACTCTCCATAAAGAAAGTTGTTTTAAGTTATCTACTAAAGTAAAGCCTTGATGGAGTATCTGTAGATCTAATTATACAAGTAAACAGTAAAGTATGCGTCTATGGACTGTGTGTAAACAGTCAGATTCTGTGGTTAGGCTCTGTGCATCACGTGCATCTTGTGCAAAAAGAAAAGCACCTTTGCTGCTGCACTTTTGTAATACATGCGATATAAAACGTTTCAACAATTTCACACCTCGAGGATGTTGTGTCAAGACAACTCTTATCCGACATTGTCCTTGAAGACACTGCCCCAAATACAAAATACAACTGACAGAAAAGGCATGATCTATTACTCTTTCCTTCCCTTCCTTCCCTTCTTTTCCTTATCACAGCTTTCACACTGATCATTAAAGGCTACCCACACATCTTACCGTGCTGCTCCTGTCGTACTGAAAACTACTTGTCACAGTTTCTAACACTATGGCAATGCGAAGGTATCCTAATGTATCTTAATGTGGCACTGAGGGGGGCAAAAAAATTATTCAGAACGCATTTTCACCCAAATGTGACAATTCAGAAATAGAACCTCGAATACAAAGGAGACAACAATGTTTTCAACTCCTGCTTATTGTAATTTAACACCAGATTAACAGCTTCGTAGGAGACGATTCTTAACAAACGTCTCATCTATTGAGGACTTTAATTATTGTGGTATGCTGCGTGTTTCCTGTACACTCTTTGTTTGATATCTTAGGGTCACAGCTCATGACACATACACGGAGATAGTTTAGTCCTTGATCCAGGTTTTCAGTCTTGACTTGTGGACCAAGAGACAGATGTTTCAGCCAGACCTGAGAAGGTCAAGGATGCACTTAACTAGCATGTAGCACGGAGGAACAGCAGTACTCTCCTGGACAGCAAATAAGAGCTACTAGTCCACAACTCCTGTCAAACAGACACAGTGATGAAGGTTAAACCCGGTGTTGGCTGTGCATCTGAATCAGTCAGTGTGCGTCATTTCAACCTGCCTTCACCAACCCTCCTCCTGACCTTGCTTTAACATGGATTGGGCTTTTAAAATCAATGTTAGTGCCGTTTCAATTAAATTTAACTGACTTCCAGACTGGAAAAACAGTAGTGACAGGCCGACTAACCGAGGCTGATAAACAACAGAGTGTCTACAGGCAGCATTGTCACTGTGGTGGCAGTTCAATGATGCTGTAAGTTTTGGGAAGGTGGGAAAAAAGTTGGTTTTGTGGCCTGTACTATAACTTTAATACATCCTGCTGTAAACAACCGGCTGAAGTTCCTACAGGATATAACAGAATTACACATGACTTTTCTTTGTTTTGACATCTGCATTACATATCAGCCATCAGCAGCCCTGCTCTCTAAATATCGGCATCAACAACGGCAAAAACAGCACGAGAGAAAGACGCCATATGGTCGAACAAGAGCGCAGTAATGCGATGTGTGACAAACAGTCTGTGTGAACACACGCCCACGGATCTGGTTAACCTGGGCTGGGGTCAAACTCTGGTTAAAAGCGAGCGCATTCTAGCGCTATCGTGGTTACGTGTATACGCAGACACCATATATTGGTATCAGATACGGTCCTGAAAAACCTGAACGCCACCTGGAGTTCTGTAATAGAAATCAGGAAAGTGTTGGCATGTAAACACCTCATCCAAAGTTCCTCATAAGTCATGTGCGCAGGTGCGTCTACAACTCAAATGTTACGTTATTAGATAGTCGACAGACACTGAATAAGTTCTGTCCTTCACTGTTGAGCTAGCTCAGTCATTACAGAAGTTACAGATTTGTCGATAAAGACGTGGCACAGACTCAAAACTGAAACTGAAATACTACTGCTTCTAATAATACTGTGGACTAAATATTATAAACACCTCTCGGTATAGATCGACAGATGTGACGTTAGGCAATTCAACAGCATTCAAAAAAAAAAAGAAAACTACCAAAATGTGGAACCACCACATCTCTCAAGCAAAAACTGGACATGATAACCTTCATGAGGAAGATTTTTGCAGAGCTGCACTACATTTGTTTATTTCTTCACCTGCCAACCGAGTATAGACAGGGGACAGATTGTTAGACCTGCCTTTCAATCCACCTTTACTACAAGAACTGCCTCCTCTGAGAGCACAATCGCTCCTGTGTTTTCCCACATTTTAGCAGCCCAAATCTATAAGCAGACTATAAACAGCTGTCCTGTGAATGGACATCTGGATTGAACTAAACATTGCAGAAGTGAGGCATAAGTTACCTTCGCATGGGGACATAAAACCTTTGAATAGGAGAGGGAAAAGTGATTATTCGGGTCCTTTACATTGCACATACAGCTTTAATCTGCGCGCTGCGACCGAGATAAATAAAGTAAAGTTTGTGCTCATCCCACAGTAGACGTGTTGCATGCGGATTGAACTCCTCCTCTCACTTTAGCAGCTTTAGACTCAGTTTAAAGAAAGAAAAAAAAAAAAAGAAACAAAAAAAAAGGCACCGAGTTAAAATCGACTGAGTGAGCTAAAACACACACACAAAAAAATGAATGCTGGAGACAACACAACCCGGACTCTGACTCCGTAAACAAGCTCATCCACAGAAAGTAGTGCGTTAAGTTAGCAGCGATGCTAACTCGGCTAGCAGACGAGCTAATCGTTAGCCGCCTGGATGCTAGGCCGACTTCCACTGCTCCTTAAACACAACACCGACCCACTGTGGGGTCTCACACTGTGTCACTGTGCGCTGGGGTTTTACCTGGGGACTGTGGAGACTGCACAAAGACAACAGGGGGGGGCCTCTCTCCGGCGATTCCCCCTGTTTTTTTTGTTGTTTTTTG